CTTTCCATTACAGGACTTTATTCTCCTTTGGAGAACTCCACACACTCTTCCATGCACTGGGAATCTAAATGTAATCAGAAACAGAAGAAACTCAAAAGGTTTCTTCAGATGAGTGGCCCAGATCCTGGAGTATTCTATTCCTACATTGTAGCTGCAAAGAAGTTTCCAAGGAAGGTTCCTGTTGGGTGCTGTCAGCGGGAGTTAGGCCACGAGTTAGGAGAAGGGATATTACCAGATGGAGCAACCTACTAATCGACCTCTTTGCTATGCTAATACCAAATTACAAAATGCACAATTGAGTGTTTCAATTTAGAGAGCAATGGAAACAGATGCCCTTAAAGAGAAAACAAAACAAAAATCTGTGTCTGGGATCCCTCCAAGCTCTTCTCCCAGTTCTGTACATTCTCAAGAAGGCCAAAAACGGAGGATACCCCTATTGCACCATTTTCACCAAGATGGCCTTGAGTTAGGGATAGAAACTGAGGCTGTGATTTCATCCATGTAGAGTACTCCAGTGTGAGGAAAATCCCTCTACCAATGCTGGTCAGCACCTTCTCTGCATATTTTGGTCTTAAAAAGTTGCCTGGGACATTGAGAGGTAAAGTCACTTGTCCAGGATCACATAGCCAATTAATGAGAAGGTGGGATTTGGACCCAGTTTTTTCTGGCTCCTGGGCTGGTTCTGTATCCACTACACCATACTGCCTCTCTCTAGCTTAAGTTTAGAATTTAAATATTGAGCACTTGTATAGCTCTAACTCAAGAAAAACATTCGTCCTTCCAGGCTTTGTCAACAAGGCTAACAGCTCTAACAGAAGCAACATACAAATTGAAAGAAACCTAGAATAACCTGCTTTGCAGAAAAAGAAACATTCCTCTCTATGCAGCATTAGCCAGAGAATCAGAAACATAGAGATGGTATCTGAATCTTCTGGCCCTACTGAAATCTTTACTAACGTTCCTCCCAAATGCTGTCCATTAAAAATAACTAGTATTTATACGTTTACTATGTGCCAGGCATTGTGCTAAGTGCTTTACAATTATCCCCACTACCATTCCAGGAAGTAGGTGCAATCATTATCCCCATTTTACAGTTGAGAAAACTGAGGCTAACAGGGATCAAATGACTTACCCAGAGTCACACAGATAATAAGTGTCTGAGGTCACATTGGAACTCAAGTCTTCCTTACTCCAGGCCTGACACTCTTATCCACTACACCATCTAGCATTAAATGACGTGATCTATGAGAAACCCTAAACATTTCTAAAATGTAATAGCACCTTCCTCATTCTAGTTACAAATAATTAAGCATTTATTAAGAAAATGAATGAGAGAGACAACTCTATCTGTTATCTGCAAAAAGATATTCTCTCTTTTCCCTTATCCTTCATCCTGGGATGAAAAGTGACCAGGTACTTTCTCTAATAATTATGGATGCTGCCCACCCTCAACTCTGGAAAAGAGGGACAAAATGCTTTGGGCAGAAATTACCAGAGCCTTACAAACCATGGAATAATCTGCACATGATCAGATTTGGCAAATAGACTGAAATGGGAGAACATACACACACACACTCTCTGTGCAAGGGACTTTACCTCTCAATGTCCCAGGCAACTCTTTAAGACAGAAATAGCCACTTCTGCAATTATTCACTAGGCAGCACTAAGAGCTTCTCTGATTAAAGGTGCTAAGTGGAAGCACCATTACAGATACTTAACAAGCAGAGTTTTTATGCACAAATATTTAGATGACAATAGGTTGAAATTAATGAGATTAAATTCTATGTTTGGCAAAAAGCTTTAGAATGTACATGAATTGACCCAAAAGAACAACAGGTAAACTTGGTTCAACAACGTAAATGACAAGATCAATAAAGGAAGCTCGTAGCTTTTCAGTCCTGTCTGACTCTTTGTGACTCTATTTGGGGTTTTCTTGGCAGAGAACTGGAGTGGTTTGCCATTTCCTTCTCCAGCTCATCTGACAGATGAGGAAACTGAGGCAAACAGGGTTAAGTGACTTGCCCAGAGTCACTCAGATAGTATGTGTCTGAGACTGGATTTGAATTCAGGTCTTTCTGACTCCAGGCTGAGCATTCTAACCACTGTGCGCTACCTAGCCGTCCAATAAAACCAGAGAAATATTAGATAACAAATTCCTTATAACAGCAGAGAGGTGGGGAATTACCATGGCAGAATGCTACCCAGTAGGATCACCACATGATATGTGTTTGCTCAATTGTTTTTCTTGGTCGCAAGAAAGGATTCAATCTGGAGGGGTAAGAGAAAGTTTTTATTTTCCCTCAAAAAATGACTGTGATGTTGGGGTAGCTAGGTGGCCTAGTGGAAAGAGCAGGGGCCCTAGTGTCAGGAGGACCTGAGTTCAAATCCGGCCTCAGACACATAACATTTACTAGATGTGTGACCCTGGGCAAGTCACTTAACCCCACTGCCTAACAACAATAACAAAATGGTTTTATCTATGCCTTTCATCTTTATATCATAGCTTTTTTTTTTTTTGGCTAGGCAATGGGGTTAAGTGACTTGCCCAGGGTCACACAGCTAGTAAGTGTTATGTGTCTGAGGCCAGATTTGAACTCAGGTCCTCCTGAATCCAGGGCCAGTTCTCTACCCACTGTGCAACCTAGCTGCCCCGATAAAACCATTTTTTAAAAGAAAATAACTTTAAAGAGGACAAGTCTTCTTCTAGAGCTCAAGTGAAATAAATAGAGCTGCCTTCCTTTGCTAATTATCTCTTTTTAACTCATCATTCCCTTAACATCAATCAAAAAGCATTTATAAAGCACCTATAAAACGCCTCTTGTGTCAAGCACCCTGTCAGCTCCTGGGGATACAAATAAAAGAGGAGCCAGGGGGCTAAGTGGAAAGAGTGCTGGCCCTGGAGTCTGGAGGACCTGAGTTCAAATCTGGCCTCAGATACTTACTGGCTGTGTGACTCTGGGCAAATCACTTAAACCTGTTTGACTCAGTTTCCTCATCACTACTATGAGCTGGAGAAGGAAATGGCAACTTACTACAGTATCTCTGCCAAGAAAAACCCAAAATGGGGTCAGGAAAAGTTGGACAAGACTGAAAAACAAGTGAACGAGAGGAAGTACAAATAAAAAGAATGAAAACAAACCCTACCCTCGAAAAGATATAATAATTGTAAATGGAGAGACAAACATATATAAGCACATACAGAATAAAGGTATTATACATTTGCTCTGTACTTTGTTTTGAATTTGTTTCCTATGTGCTTGTCAGTCAATTAACATTTATTAAGTGCCTACTATATACTATGCACTGTGCTAAGCACTAGGGATACAAAGAAAGGCAAAAACCAGTCCCTGCTCCTTAGGTGCTCATAGTCTAAAGAAAAATCTAATGTACAAACAATATTATACTCAGGGGATATTAAAGATAATCTCAGAGAAGACACTAAGATTAAGGAACACTGGAAAAGGCAAAGACTTAAGGACATACAGCTTCAATTTCTTCAGTAAAACATCAGGCATAGTTATTGTTTAAAATAGTAAGGTGGCGCAGTGGATAGAGCACTGGCCCTGTAGTCAAGGGGACCTGAGTTCAAATCTGGCCTCAGACCAAACTTGACACGTACTAGCTGTGTGACCCTGGGCAAGTCACTTAACCCCAATTGCCTAAAAAAGAAAAAAAAAACTAAGTGGGAAGAATCAGAAAGGAAGGAAGAAGCTGGTGAGTTCTGAGGAAAGGGGGAGGAGGAGTAACAAAGCAGAATGCTATACCAAATTAGCAAGAACTAACTGAGTCAGATGGCAACAAATACAGAATGAAGAAGAGGTTGGAAGACAGAAGAATTTGGAGGGGACAAGGATGCTGAAAGCAGAGGTACTGGGGAAAAGACAGTCTTTGACTATGTCCAGTTTGCATGAAAACCAGTTACCCATTTCTGTTCTAGGAATTCTGCTCAGGACAAAGGTGAAAGAAGGCTGGAAATTCTCAACATGAGAGATGGCTGGCTCAAGACGACTGCTCTTGGCTTTCCTCTTGAAGATTTGAGAAGGAAATGCTTAATGCTGGAGGGCCCCCATTCACAGGCCCTGTAGTAGTAGTAGTAGTGGTGGTGGTGGTGGTGGTGTGGTGGTGGTGGTGGTGGTGGTGGTGGTGGTAATAATAAGAGTAGTAACAAAAAGTAGCAATAATAATATCACTTCAAGTGCTTTACGGGATAGTGACACTGTTACCAAAAAAAGGAGGAAAAGAAAGGAAAGAACATCAATGAATCATTAAAAAAAAAACAGGAGAATAGAAGGAAGTTCAGAAAGAGACACAGAAAAGTTGGGTTGTATTAAATCTAGCATATTAAATTTGACATAAAAAAGATCTACATAGGGAAAAAACCCTACAATTTCATATATAAAATCTCCCCTTCTGTTTTTCTCTGTATATTAAAATGTTTATGTTTATTGATATTTATTAACTTTATAATATAATTTTTAAAAACAACAACAAAACACATATACATACATTAATTTCACTGAGCCTCACAACTACCTTGTAAGGCAGGTACTTTTTCTATCTCCATTTTATAGAAAGGACTTAGACAGGTTCAATGACTTGTCCAGGGTAACATAGTTCCTCAGCATCTGAGGCAAGATTTGAACCTAAATCTAAATGCTTACAAGTTCAACATTTTGTTCACTACACTATGGTGCTGTACATACAGGCTAGAGAATGAGCTTAGCTATGCTAGCTATGACTCTTCCAGAGCAATCTACCAAATAACAACAATACTTCAGATTCTTTAAGGGGGGAGTGACACTAATGCTTTAAAAAAAAAAAGGAAGAAAAGAAAGAAAAGAACATCAATTACTCATTTAAAAAATAGAAGAGAGTAGAAGAGAGTTCAGACAGGGACGTAGAAAACACACACATACGCACAAATCATTTCCTCCCCTTATCAATACACACAGGAAAACAAAAACCAAATAAACATATTGTTGGTAAAAACAGTTTCTCACCTGAAAGGAGTTCATATATTGAAGAGAAGGTGGCAGAGAATCATTACTCCTTGATAATATCAACAGTAGCTCCAAGCAGGTTTGGGAAGGCAGGACAAGGGAATGGACTCCAATATCATTTTCCCATGAACTGGCAAGTCTGGAACACACCAATATTCACATTTTCATGAATGCTTTCTGATTAGGGAAACTCACACAATGACATGCAAGAAGAAAAGGGTCAGAGCCAATAAATAAGTGTCAAAATTTTCAAAGCAAGGGAAAAACTCAACGGCAATATGAAAAAAAAATCCACAGATATGAGTACAAGTGAAGGAGCAGCTGTCCAAGGTACACTTCCTCTACGGCTGGTAGAAGACAGGGTTTAAGCAATTTTTTCCAAGTCATCAGTTCGTTTTCAAAAGTATATGAAGTGTGACTATAAAGTAATAAGAGTGATTCAGTGTTCAGCTGGGGGAAGTAGCCTCATTACTTCTAGTTATACTTCACATATGTGACACAGAAAGATAGACACCACTCCAAAGTCTAAGCAGGTAATACCTGCCCTTAAATTCATTTATTTGTCATGTTTACTCTATATTGTCAACTCTCATATTTAATCAATATTGTCTTCACACCCAACACCTACCCTATATCCCCTTCTTCACCAATCCCCCAAAATTCTAAAATAAAAATACAAGATTTTCTTTTTCTTTCTTTCTTTTCTTTTCTTTCACCCCAGGAGGGGCTCTCATGGCTTTAGTGCAAGGATTCTTAACTCAAAATCTGTGAGCGTTTGTTTGTTTGTTTTAAATTTTGATAACTGTATTTCAACATAGCTATTTTCTATTCTAATCTATAGGCAGCTAGGAGATGCAATGAATAGAAAGAGCTGGACCTAGAGTCAGAAAGACCTGAGTTCAAATCTTGTCTTAGATATTTGCTAGCTATGTGACCCAGGGCAAGTAATTTAACCTCTGTCTGCACCAGTTTTCTCATATGTAAAATGGGGATAAAAATAGCACCTAAATCCCAAGGTTGCTGGAGAATAAAATGAGAATAATTAGAAAGTGCTTTGTAAGCCGCAAAGTATTACATAAATGCCATTTATTATTATAACTATTATCAATCCTGAGTATTTTTATATTATGCATTTTTATTATGAATTTAAAAATATTATTCCAAGAGAGGGTCCATAGGTTTCACCAGATTCCCAAAGGGATCCATGGCACAGAAGAAGTTAAGAACTCCTGACCTAAGAGATTTTTTAAGAACTTTTTTTGCTTGTTTTTTCTGTGTTTGGGTTGGGTTTCATTTTTGTTTTTGTTTTGTTTTTGGCTTTTTTAAAAAGTTCACATTGCAATAAAAATATAGCTGGGGAGTGGTCCACTGTTTTCTCTCTGAGACTGAAAATAAAATCTTTACCGAATGATAGAATGATAGAGGGATAAAATGCCTTTTCTACAGCTGTTTAACTGGAACAGAAAGATACAATTCTTTTACATTTATATGACTATCACCATAACTTGAAAGTGTTATGAGAACCTCTAATCATCATTGATCCTTTTAATATACATGTGATGGCTAAAATCAATTAAACTTAATTTTGGCAGGTGATTACTAATACTTATAGACAAAGAAAGGAAGATAGGAGGAGAATTATTTATAGAATTTTACTGCATAAACCTCCTTTGCCCATGTCTAAAGATGATGGCAAAAGAAATAGCTAAAAGGAAGTATCTCTCCAGCAGACTTCATTTCCTACAATACTTGGGTCAGGAATGAGGTAACAACATGGCAAACAGCTTTAAAAATGAGAAAAGAGGAACTGAGAGAATTAAAGAGGCAAAACATGGAGCTATGTTGAGGGAGGGGAAGAGAAGACCACAATCTGGGGCAAGTGTCATGGCATCCAGAGGCAAAGAAGCAGGCCTCAGACATCCTGTGCATTTTCCTCTCCGATGGTATACAAAGTGATCTGCCTCCTGCTATTCTTGGGATTTATGAGGACGAAAGGGGAACTCAATTATACTTTTCCTGAGGGTACAGGAGACGTACGTCTCTTTGCATAAGGGTATAGAGAATAATTTACTGCTTGATTTATTTCTTGTTATTTTCTACATCATGCCTAACTTAATTAAATGTTTTTACAACTGGATTTATATGTTTCTGGCAAGTCTGGCAATAAAATAACACATCAGATGGGGGCTTGGGCCATGGTTTATCAACCCAAAACAGTTATTTCTGAACACTGGAGGAGCTAAGGGGGGTTCTATATATGCAAGTAAATTTCAATTACAACAACCATTTATTAAGCATTATGGTGCAAAAATCAATGCTAAATCCTGGAGCAGATACAAAAATTGAAAAGAGAAACAGTCCTTGACCTTGGATGGCTTACAGTCTAGTGGCTGCCCTCCTCCTCCCATGATAACACGTAACTATAATGCAGTGTTTATATAGTTGCTGTGTTCATCTTACTAGTAGACTCTCAAGTTTTTATGTTGTCTACAATTATTTTCAATTGAATTTCTCTTTCTATTTCTTCCTACAAGGTTTTGTTCAAATCACTCTGGCTTTCATTGAATGGCTAACAATAGGCCCTAACCCAAACTTCAGTTGTTCACTGTTTAGGTTTTGATGGCTTAAAGTTAAGTGCAAACAGCAATTATTTTCTATTCTGGCCAGAAACTCAGAGGGTGCCTCCCAAACTGATACTTTCGTGATGGTAAACTAGACCACCTTCTGTCTCAATTCTAACAACCCTTAGTCACTGGATGGGCATAGCCTCAGACAAACTGAGACCTAGGAAAGATTTTAATTTAAAAAGGCCAGAGTCACCTACTGCATCCTGGGCCATTGCCAATCATCTTGACCCATGTCTTGCCACCAGACTCTGATGACTCTGGAGGACAGAGTGAGGCTGACGACTTTGCACAGCTCTGCCTCACTTAAATCCAATTCAAGAGCAAGTCAAGACATCAACCTGGTAATGTTGATGGGGTATGGGACCAAACCAAGACCTCTGCCCCTAGCTCAAAAAAGAATTTGGGTCTCATTTGTCTACAGGCCCCAGAAGACCCTTAAACTCACTCTGGTCTCAAATGGTTACCTGAAGCTCTATTTCACTTAATGGCTTTTCCTTATCAACTCTCCTCCCTATCTCCCTTTGAAAACCTAATGAAGCCCTAGTATATTTCCCACCTTTGATCTTATCTAGACCCCATTCAAATCTCTTCCTTCCAGTTCCCTTCATTATCTATTCCCATTGTCTATTCAACCTCCCAGACACTCCAATGGGAATTCTCCCTAAACTCACCCCAGTTTCAGGATCTTTCTTCCAGCCCCTCCTCCAAACACCCAAAATTATTTGAGTGTATATAAGATCCACCCTCGCCCCATTTAAACACTGAGACTTCCTCACGCCCGCTCATCCTTAGGGGCATCACTAATGTTCAGATTCCTTAAGAATCTGGCCTGTAGGATTTATCCCTAATAAACTTTGTCTCTGGCTGAAAGAAGGTTTGGGTTGAATTCTTTCACACAGGACACTTGTGCTGTGATTTTGGGGTTCCAGCACTCCTAACCCTCTAGACCTCATCAATATCACTGGTCCTCTTCAAGAATGAAGGATCAATAACAACAATAGCAACACAGAGTGACCACAAAAGTATGACATAAGCATAATAAAGTACTAACAGAGGCACCTGGGAAAAAAAAAAAAAGACCATTTCCAATTTAGGAGGGGGAAGTGTACAAGTGAGCTGAATGTTACAGAGAAGGTTTCAATATCAAGTACCAATAGTTAAAAAAAAAAAGGTCTCCAGAAGAAAGTAGTAGTATTTTACAAGTACATGTGAATTATACATACCTAAGTTTTCCTACAAAGGGACCACCCTCTCATTAACAACTCTACAGAATGATGGTTCTCTGGAGGGTAGGAGGTTTTACTTAAAAGCTAAGAAATGCTTACCCTACATAAAGAAATCAAAAACAAAAAGGTCCATGAATTTGCTAATAGCTACTCCATGTTCATGTTTAGTCTTGAGCTGTTCTGTTCTGAGCGTTTGGGGGGTGGTTTTTGGCTGCTACGAATTCTTTTATACACTTTCAGCTACAACTTAAAAGAATGACTTTGAAAAGTAGGATAAGAAAGGTGGGAAGGAGAAATCAAATAGCACTTTTAAAAACAGGTAGTGTTAACGGTAGAAGGAGAATGGGACAGAAGAGAAGGATGGGATTGAAAGGCAAGTACTTAACTTCATGCTCCAGGAATAAAAGTTCTATGGAGTTCAAGGTAAAGGAAAGGCTATTTTTAAAATAGCTGCTCCTTAAATGCATTTTAAAATGCTTATTTTTCAGGGGAGTTTAATAGAAATAGCCTTAGAGTTGAAGTCAAAAGACATATATGTATATGTATATCTATATCTATATGTATGTGTATATGTATGTATATATGTATATGTATATGTATATGTATCAGTTCCTGACCTGACATTTACTCATTTATACATACATACATACATACATACATACATACATACATACATACATATATATGTAATCTTGGGTAGAGGCAGCTAGGTGGCACAGTGGATAGAGATACCAGCCCTGAAGTCAGGAATACCTGAGTTCAAATCCGGCCTCAGACCACTTGACACTTACTAGTTGTGTGACCCTGGGCAAGTCACTTAACCCCAATTGCCTTAAAAAAAAACTTGGGTAAGTCACTGCAGGTCTCTAGACCTCAATTTGTTCATCTGTAAAATGAGAGGGCTGGACTAGTTAATAACCAATAACTAGTTAATAACCCTGCCAGTTCTAACTTGCTATATTCTATTTTCTTATAACTCAGGGCTTTCTTTTCCTCAAACCTGAAGTACTAGTCAAACAGTAGCCTGTTAGCATAAATCCCAGAAGCTTTTTTACACTCCTATGATAAGCTTTCTTTTTTCTTTTTTTATTCAATTTCATTTTATTTTCATATCCAAATTGTTTCCTTCTCTGACCCCTCCTGCAACCATTGAGAAGGCAAGAAATATAAAATTCATTACAAATATGAAGTCATACAGAATTTCCACATTAGCCATGTTACCCCCTACAAAAAAATAACAAAAAGAGGTCTCCATGTATACCTTGAAGGCTCACTCTTTCAAACAG